TTGGCCGTGGTAAGAGTCACGCTACGTTGAACATCTTGCTAGTTCATGGTGAGCTTAATTTACTTGGTAGTAAAACAAAGAGTCTAAAAATCATCAAAAATTTTATTAGGTAAACTACAAATATAGGAATTCATCAGTGATCTATATAATGGATTGATATTCAAGTTAAAATACCTAAAAGTTAACGCTATCCTTTACATGAAATATTTTCCCATTAACATATGATACCAACTACGTATTACTCTTTATTAGCAGATGAAAAACATATTTATGAAACATGAGCTCCATTTAACAGCACTAATGCTCAAGATAGCAGCGTTCTTAAGATTTCGCTCACATGTTTTCCGGGTTCTTCACGCTGGTCTTAATTTACTCGATAAAGTCAGTAAATTCTTTTATTGTTATCGTTAAAAGCAATACTCCATTAACATAGAAGATTCATAATATAAAAAACTTGATTGATTCTTTCGGAGTATGAAGGGAGCTTCAAGTTTACCCAATCAACTTATTTATAACTTAAAGTTTTAACTTGTACAATTTCAGCGAGAAATTCAGATCAATGACAACAGAATATGGCAGGATGACTCATTGATAAACAATAGACTCGCGTCTCTGTCTGACAGGTCAGAAACCTCGTATCTCTTCTATTTTAACTGGCATTCGAGCGACGGTATTTTGGGACACAACTGTATTTTGATTGGCAGCTGCTGCAGAATAAGTGTAAATTTTTACCAAACCAAAACGCCAAGCGACCGATACGATATTTGTTTGATATTTTATATCAAACATTGAATACGATGCTCCGAATATTTATGTTATCATCTTTCATTTACACAAAAAGAAATCGAATAAAGTTAATTATTGCGGCTCAACTATTTACTGTTATCTTTGTAATTAATGGCGAACATCCATATGCCATTGTTATTATGTAAAAATATTCAATCACGAGTCAAAATGTGCACAAAGCAGGAGAAAGACGGAGCAGATAAACTGCCTCATCCTGCCTTTTATTTGCAACAATAGTTCCTGCCATTGTTTGTAAGCAATTATATGGAGATAAGAGAACGAATACTTCTGCACGAGGACGAGAAGCAATTCAACGCAAAGCAGCATTTTCTGTCTCGTCATTGTGGACATACCAAGCTAACTCAATGTTTCCTTTGTCCACCTCAAAGACTCAGAGATCATCGTTTGTTCTAGCACTCAAAGAATTAAAAAGAATGGAGTGCTGTTACCTCCTCTGGCTACAGCAAGGCATGCATGAAGAAATGATGCATGATATGAACAGACGCGAAGTGGAAGCGTCATGAAGGAAATTTATACCATGAGCGTTCATCTATATCTTCGTTCATTTGCCTTATAATTCCTTAGAATATTCCAGTGAAAATTCAAATAGCGGATTTCCCGAAATATTGGAATATGGCATGAAAACGGAAACCTCTAGCTTCAAACAAGTAGAATAAAGTAAGTCTGTGTGGTTGTGGCAAAGCTCGAGTGCTTGTATGAACTATCTTTACGATTTACCTACCGAATCATATTATCTGTGACCGTACACATATTGATCAAATCTCATGGTAGTTATCCGAAGTCAACTTGGTCATTATTTGAAAAATTAACGTTGAAGCTGCAAGTTCGGAATGGTAAGGAACGCGAGCACGAACTGAAATTTATGTAGCATGAGATGGAGAAGGAATTTAAAAGCAAAGAAAACGCCAAGAAAATTCACCATATCGATATTGAAAACGTTTCGGAGTCCGAGCTTTAGCATAGCTAAGTTTTTGGTTCCAGTTTTGAATTGTCTAACTGCTAACCAGTTTACTGTTGATAATACGTACTCCTTTGTCGACCGTTTGAAAGATTTTACTGATGTTCAGCACCTGACTATGGCTTCATTCGATGTGGAAAATTTGTTCACTAATATTCCTCTTGCAGAAACTATTGAAATCTGCCTCAACTCTTTGTTCAAGGATGTGAATGATCTGGTGATCGGTCTTAACCGCAATCTTTTCAAAAAGATTTTAGAATTATCAGTCATGAACTCATTTTTCATTTTCGCTGGTAAACTTTATAAGCAAGTTGATGGTTTAGGAATGGGCCTTCCACTTGGTCCCACACTCGCTAACATTTTCATGTGCTTTCATGAAGTTTCTTGGTTGGCCGATTGTCCCATTGATTTTAAACCGATTTTTTATAATAGGTATATTGATGATACTTTTCTGATCTTCAAGCATCCCTCTCATCCGCGCCTCTTCTTTGATTATCTAAACCTCAAACATCCTTCAATCAAATTCACTATGGAATTAGAATCCAACAATTGCTTGTCGTTTCTCGATTGCAAAATCACAAAATCCGGCGGTCGTTTTCAGACTTCCGTATATCGAAAACCGACATTTACCGGCTTGGGTTTAAGCTTCTTTAGCTTCTGCTCGTTTCGTTTCAAATTGAATAGTCTCCAAACTTTGATATACCGTGGATATAGGGTGTGTTCTACTTTCCATGATATGCATTTGGAATTCGATTTCATTCGTAATATATTTCAGCTTAATGGTTTTCCATCGTGCCTTGTGTATAGTAAAATCAAACGCTTCTTATCTAACAAATTTTCTGAAACTGTGACTGAATGCGATAGTAAGAAAATTATTTATTGCACATTGCCCTATTTTGGTAGTGCGTCTGAAACTATGTCCAAAGAATTAAAAATGCTGTGTTTGAAATATTTCCCAAATATAAATTTGCATGTTTTACTGGTAAATAATTTCAAAATTGGTTCTTTCTTCAGGTATAAGGACGTTATTCCTGCTCGGATGCGATCAAACCTGGTCTATGAGTTCTGTTGTGCACGCTGTGCATCTACGTACGTTGGAATGACGTCGCGTAACTTCTACATCCGGGTTTCTGAACACCGTGGCAGGAGCTATCGTTCTAACTTGCCTCTCGCCAAGCCTCCTCATTCTTCCGTGCGCCTCCATGCTGAACAGTGCGACGTGGCTGTATCTGAGAGTGATTTCAGGATACTCGGTTCCACTTCTGGCTGCTCGGATTTGAGAATTTTGGAGTCTCTACATATCTTCAAACGAAAACCATGTCTCAATAATGCGTTTAGCTCATATAATCTGGAAATAGTAAATCGCTAGGATTTTATATTCTTGTCGTACCCCTAGGACTAAGTTGTTCATAACTAGTCCTGTTTATTTCGATATAATGTTAGGTCTGTTTAGGTTTTATGTCTGTCTTTGAATTTTGACTTTTAAAGTGATTTTATTCATTTTTAGTTTAGTCGAACTGATGATGGAGCTGGACTCCGAAACGTTTTCAATATCGATATGGTGAATTTTCTTGGCGTTTTCTTTGCTTTTAAATTCCTTGTGAACTTGCGATATAAGCAGACTAATGATATACTTATGAGATGGAGAAGTATGGTGCCCTTCGCCCCTGGTGTTTGACACCAGCCTGACTGGGCCTACCCTGAAAAAAAATAAGTGAAGATTGATCATTGTTGTATTGATAAAATGATGGCAGTATAATAGGGCTACCCCAATTTTGCATAGCCTGGAAATTCCATCTTCGCAAGATTTAAAATAAAATTCTAAATATAAATATGAAAATTGTCATTGGGTTGAGTCCTTGTGTCGGCCAGCAATCGTCAAAAATTCACTGGAACTCTTCAGAAACATTCAATCGCATTCAACGGCAGCCTCCACCAATCTTGGCCATGTTTGTTGAAAGATCCTACATTCTGACTCCTGTGTGGAAAGTGTGGTTCAAAAGGCGACAAAAATGTCCCGATCGGGAGAGATGTAAGTCTTGTAATAAATCTTGCACGATTAAAAATTACTCTTCACAGAGCCCTCGGGCTTAATCATGATTTTTGGCATTGTTTCCAATGTGTAGGCGAACTGCATTACGCCCAGCGTTAGTCGTCAAAAACCGAATGTGGAAACGTTTATGCCAGTAATCGATGATTGTCAGAGGTGAATAAGAATTTTGCATAAAGGAATAGTTGAGAAAGTAGACAATTATTCAATGCCGGGTGTATTATGTGGTAGATAAACTTTGAAATGCAATGTTCATTTCTAAATTAGAATTTGTCACGCCTCTTGCAGGATGAGCCATTCCTAACACTAAAAATTAATATTTTCATATCTTTCGCAACGAAGTTTGGTCAGTTTTAATTTAACTGTTGTCTATTTCGTTGCAAGTTCTACCAGCAGATAGTGTAACCGACTTTTGAAATGAATTTCAGCCATTTCTTACGCTAAAAGGGGATGACTTGGGGATATTTAACGATGATTTAGAATACGTTTGCGTCGTGACTAAGACTTTTCAGCCGTTTACGATAGCCAGGAAAACCGTTGCTCATGGTGTTGTACGCATGAAGTTTTGAGTTGTCCGTATAGTTTACAGTAAAGTAAAGCCTGACTCTGAAATAATCTCGTCAACCAGCAATTTTTCAAAGCCTGTATCAATGAAAGCTTTGCCTCTGTTCAAGGACTGACAAATTTTACCGAAGACTTATTCGTCTATCCCTTGATCATTTTTCATGCTGAAATGCATTATTATACATTTCGATAACGATATTTCGCGCCGTATTCGCTTTAATAATTTCATGATATGAGAATATTGACACATATTCATTGTTTTGTATCCGCACGTGTGCATGCATCTATCCTGTAGTTGTTGAGTTTTTCAAAATTTTTATGCAAGAATTCCTCTTGATTGGAGGGTGAGTTTCCCGACACTATAAGACGATGTATCGAGATGTAAAAAGAAGCACAGGACAAGCGAAAGTTAGTAATGCAGCGTGGTTGACGCTAAGCTACACGAGAAATCTCACCGAAGCACAATTTGCGTTGTTTACTAAGAAAATTATAAGACTAAGACGTTCTTGTGTTTGTGGGACCCATTATTGCTATGAGCATAAATGCATTTTCCGACCATGTGAGCTAATTTTACAGGCTATATTTGTCGCAATCTATATAACTCCATAAATTTCCACAGATTATTTTCAGGTTCTCCATCCATTACAAAATCACTATTCAGAGAAGAACAATGATTAAAGTAATAGTGTTAGCAGCACTGTTAGGGTCAGAGTGCGTCGTGGCTCAGTATTCAGCGGCAGAGGCACATTCATTCAGCAAAAGACAGGCGACAGATGACACTCTCGGGACAGCACCTGGGACCATCGTTCCAGGCCCGGCCGACAGCGGCCCTGATCAGACCCCGCAGTGTCCCAAGCCACCCGTAGTCCAGAACTTCCAGGCAGAACGGGTGAGAATTTATTACATTTTCGATGAGGATGCAGCATGCGGAGAAAGCTGGATTGAAGAACAGAAATGTCGCGAAATTTATAGTCCGAAGGCAGGAAATCTTGGTTCTGTGATAAGTTTGGTGATAATTATATTCACTGAAAACTTTCGATTATAAAATAAATACCTATTTTAATTATTGTAATTATTATTATTTCGACGGCAGTATCTGGGGCGGTGGTACGAGATAGAGAGGTTCACGGCTCCGTTCCAGACTGGCATTTGCGTTACCGCAGACTACGCTCTTCTCGGTAACTGTTCCATCGGCGTCACCAATACGCAAGTTCTGCCGTGAGTTATAAAAATATTATCATCATAATTATTCATTATTAGTGAAAATATACTACGAAAAATGATTTGAAAATTTTACTGAAGTTTCGGGACATGATTTTTTGATGAAGGCATATTAATTCTGGATTCAGACATGTTGCATAATATATGTTTGAATGCCAATTTCGTGTGGCATTCTCATGTTCAGTGCCAATTACTTCGAATAATTCTGCACTTCAATATTTGTTTATATAATGATTTTATTGATTGATTCATATTCGCATTTCCAAAGGAACGGCGTGGTCGACGTTGCTAGAGGCGTAGCACACTCAGCAGGCGATCCCGGTAGCGCTTCTCTGACTGTTACATTCCCAGACGAGGAGCGAACAAGAGGTGAGATCTGCAATTATTTTCATTATTGCAGAAAGTTGTTTTCTGAATATCTTGTCATGAATTATAAATTATCATATTAATATACATTACACTATTTTCAATTAAAATTGTATGTGTATTACCAGATAGATGAAAATTGATTGTTGTGAAAGTAATTACACAAAATCAATAGCGCTGTAGCCAGAATTACTTGAGGAACATGAAAGGAAAATGAGCCACAGAGCGGGAAATAAAATGTTTATTTAAAACTTAGAGTTGCATATGAAAGCAAAAAAAACGTATGCATTATAGAATCAATCATGATTTGATTCATTGGTGATATTACATTTTACAGCACGATATTGTTGAAGTTTAAATAAATGCTTGTGCTGGGCATTTTCTCCGAAAATTTCGATGAATGAAAAAATTGATGCCATGAAATTATTATTGAATTTGACGGAATCTGGCATCAACAGAAATCGGGTTTAAGTACCGTGAACGCAGGTCAACTTGCCGCTGGTCTGATTATGGCAATTAATAATAGCACATTAAATTCCAAATGCAAGAAAATATTTAGAAATCCAACCTGTATCTTAACTTTTTAGTCATATCACCATTTTTTTTGTAGTTACATTCATTAAAATCCAAATTATTAGATAATATTGCTATTGAATTGTTACAAGGTTTGTGATGAAGTTTTGTGCATACGTGTCTGAATATTTCCGATCAAACCAGGGTAGGATTCGAGCCTGACCTGACATTTATTAGATTTTTATTTTTTTTTACTTACATGTCTTCTCATACTTTCAAGGTCCAGTACAGACGCCACAAACCGAGGGAAACTACAATGTTCTTGCGACGGACTACGAAAATTACGCCGTAGTGTACAGTTGCTCTATTGCGAACTTCCGTGGCCGAGACACGAAATTCGGTGAGGTTTCCCAAGTTTTTATTATTTATTAGTTCATATTATTTATTATTATAATTATTCTCTGTTGGAAAATAATTTAGGGCAAAATAATCAAGTCTTTTCGTATAGATTAATTACATTGAAAAGATCTCATTACTCTGATGCTAAGCTCAAACTCAGAAGTAAATTAGTGGGCCATACTATAATTAATGCTCATCAATAGTATTGGTCCTCATTGTTTATATCTGTTAAAAAAATACCAGCGAGGGATTGTCTTCTTTTTTAGATGCTGTCCTTATTGTCTCGAATTGAAAATATTTCTTAATCGTCAAATGATTACTAACACAAGGGCGATCAATTGCTTCGAAATCAAATAATTGGTCACTTAAAATAGATTAATTCATTCGAAATAAAATGGACTTAAAAAATTAATTAAATTAATTAGGCTCAAAATTTCTTCATATAATGAAAAAGTTGTCAATAAATTTCCACTTGACCCAATACGAAAACCTTTTAAGTTTTCGCCAATTATTCATCTATATTGTAAAATTCAGTAAACAAATTAATGATTGGCATTGGCTATGATGCGGTAATCACACTAAACGTACAGCTATTTCTAGCACATAGCGAAAAATTTTAAATTTATTCGTGAAAATTCGGTTTTAAGTAGAACTTTGCTATTAATTATTCATTACTACAAACAATATTTGCAATATAATTTACAATTTTATCTGCAACATTCATTACTACAAACAATAATATTTACGTTTATTTACTGACAATCCCACCCTCGCAAGGACACCAATATCACCAAGACGATTTCTATCCCGATTGTCAACTTCAATTCCCTAGATTCGAGCGTGCGTTCCTTTGCCATGCAGATGCCGTTCTCTGAGGCAATGGTAGCTTGAAATTCCTCATAAGAATTTCATGGCGGCAGACGTTGAAGTTATCGCATACCTCTGCCTTCTTTTCAGAGTTTTCGTGGGTCTTAGCTCGCCAGCCTCGAGTGAACTCTGTGTTTCTGCGGCGCTTACATGAATGGCTCCAGAACCTTGGCGTGCCGGCAGAGCGCTACATGCTGACTCGGCAAGCTGGATGTCAGTACACCGCAGCATGATGGTCCTGCAGAGCGCTACATGCTGACTCGACAAGCTGGATGTCAGTACACTGCAGCATGATGACTTGGCAGAGTGCTACATGCTGACTCGGCAAGTTGGATGTCAGTACACCGCATCATGATGGCTCGGCAGAGCGCGGCATGATGGACGAGCCTGACGCGCACATGAGGGCGTGAAGGAAACGTTACTTTTTCGATTAAGCTGGTAAAGAATTTACGTAGTAAATTTTTGCATGCGTTGGCCATTTTGAGATGAATGTTACTGCAGGCGGTATTGTGTGTTTATTGTTCATTCTGGCATAGGTGAAAATATTTTTTGGGATTTTTAACAATAGAGATAATAAAGAATAATATAGTCAGCACAAAAGTGTTAATAAAACGCTAAGTTTTTTCCATCTTTCGATTTATCCGCAAACAATAATTACAAAACATACATATAAAATTAATGGTTCATGGTTCCTCAGGTAAATAATGTACAGTGAATGATGTAAAAATCTAACAAAACACAACGATAGCTTTTACCACATGGATTTATGGCTAGAAGTAAACTTTTTGGGCTTAAAAAGAGAATTGCAACGTATCTTACTGTTATTATATGCAACACATATTTTTCATATGTAGTTAAGATACAGCGGCGGCATAAATTTAAACGTGGCCGTTTGAGAAGTTCTAATCGCCGAACATTTCCACTAGCGAAGCAATCAATGAACTGTTGCGCCGGAATAATGAAGCCCGAGTTCGAATGATCAACAAACTTCACTGCCTGCTAAGTAATGAACCTCCGATGCGCCTTGATGGAGGGTTTCTTCTTTAGAATATTCTCGTATTCTTAATAAAAATGAAGCATCGGAGGGATGTAAGGATGAATTTTTTATGTGAAGTTATTTACGTTCTTTTAGTTTTGTTCTTCAATTACGACACAGGAAACGATCGATGAGAATTATGATTTTTCAAAGACGATTCGACTCGGAGTTCAAATGCAGTGATGTGTTTCGAAATGCTGTAGTAAACATTTGTTAGGAAGGAATTTACTTTGACCCCGATTGTTTAATGACCACAGACTGGCTTGAATTTTGGTAAGCTAAAGCTTCAACCATATCCTCGGTCTGTCGATTAATGTACCAACACGGTGGTGTAACACGGTGCTGTAATATCGTGATATAACACGGTTTTGCAACACGGTGGTGTAACACGGTAGTGCAACACGGTAGTCCAACACGGTAGTGTAACACAGTTGGACTACACGCGGGGTCGCCTGCCGAAGACCACCACTGTAATGGACCATCATGATTCCTGCCTTCCGGAACGTAGCCTTCAACACTTCAAGCCGTCCGTATCTAGGCCGTGGGTGGAACCAGCCCTCGGTAGAACGGCCACTTGTCGAAGGACGGTAAATTTCGGAACAGAACTATGCTATCTGAAACCTAACCTCAGATGCGGTGAACGTAAAATTACGTAATTTAACGATGCCCGGAAGTCAGATTCGATCCGCGGCCTGGTGGTGCACGGCAGGTTCTATGCGAGGCCGGAGGAAGACAAAGACGAGTGGTTCACGGCTGATTGGTGGATGTCCGGAGATATTCAAGGCGTTCGATTCAGGGCTTATTGGTGCACAAAATTGGTGGTGCACGGCTGCGCTCCGGTATCCGGTACCTCAGCGATGACATCCCGAACAGGTTACGTGGCGCTGGTGCAGCCTTGCTGTCGACGCAAAAGTCATTTCCAAATAGATTGCGCTTTTACTTTGTCTGTACGCTCACTTGAATTCAAGCCTGCATTACTGAATGAACTAACTCGGAACCTGAACGATATACATTTTCACCCTGTACAAATTATAACTTTTTTTTTAAATTAGGTGTTTAAATTTGTGCGGACTGTGGAGTAGCTCCAGCTTGGAGTAAAGTAGACAGTTTTTAAGGTTTAATGCAAATAAATAAATGCTAAATTCCTTCAACACAAAGGCAATTTTGGACTGTATATACTCGTATATATACTGTATATACAAGGCCGATTTTGCTCAAGGTGATTGCGAAAGTTATCTAAGATGAAAGTTATTCCGTAAAAAATGCACGCGTCCTTTTACGTTCGTTGTGTATGATCTCCGTCCTGTTAGCTTCTATTTGTTTATACGCTTTTTAAAGTTTCTCTATTTATTTTATTGTTCATAGTAACGTTGAAATTCCACAACCCAGTTAAAATTTAGGGCAGGAATAGAGCAGGCCGTCGCCGGCTGCAGAGCCGACGTAGAGACGCGACAGAGCAGAAATGTCCGCTTTAGAGACGATATCGCCAGCCGTGTATCAGCGCTAATTAGCTTCTGAGTACCTTGCAGAGTTCCGTCTCTGCCGAGCTGCTAGAATTTTGTCTCTGTATCAGCCATGGCGCAGCGCAGTTTTAGGGATAGATGGCCGGTTATAGTTTCACGGCTCCATCCTGCTAAAGCGCGACCAGCCCGGCTAAACCCGGCGCCGGTCTCGGCTCAAAATTTTAACTGGGAATAGACGAATCTGAAATCAAAACAAAAGATTTTTTAAAAGTTTAAGTTCATAGCTCAGAATTATAATGGCAACTGTTACATTGAATCCTCGGATTATTGCACTCAACAATATTTTAATTCCATTTAAATACTCACCAATTTTCTATCGCTAGCGCTGATTATTCTGATATTCTTATCGGCAATATTTCCCGGTTTTCCGGAAATTTTATTTCGGTTTCACTCTGTTACAGCCAGAATAAAGGTAGCGATTACTTACACGACGCAGTTATGAATAGACTTGCAGGCACCAAGGAATCGCTTTGAGCTTCCGCGTCACTTTCTTACTGTGAAGTTTCTCAATTGGTGTCGCCAGTGAGGGAGAGACATGAGAAACGTTTGAGTGTTTATTGCAGAATAACTGAGCCTGCGACATCTAGCAGCACCCAAATTGATTCAAGTCTTGATTTTCAAGGACGTTCGGGACTTCAATGGGGTGATTAGAAGCAAGGCCACATTTGTTTGTTGCTAATCGGACACTTGAGTCTGTACCGATAAACTGGTCGTAGTGTATCATTTCCACGATAAGGGCCTTGTCAGCTTATGATGGTGGGCAAGTGAGAGTATTTTGAAAAATGTTTGAAATAGTATGAAAAATTGTACTTCTTAGTCGTCAATATTATATGTACAAAGCGAGATCCTGTTAGAACACAATGTGTTAAGTCTGTCCTATCCATGAACTCATATCGAGAATACAAACATAAATTTGTAAATGTAGTTTCAGAGCAATCTCAGTAATTATGAAAATAGCAATCAGTAATAATAACGATCAGTAATTATGAAAAAACACGCCGCTTTCTGCGATTTCCAAACAAGATTTATCTTCTTTGCTTCTTAGTTACAAGCTCGCAGTACCTACGAGGCTTTAAAGATAATTGTAAATGATCTTAATGTACGATACCTTTAAGAAAGAACACACGCGAATTATTTAAAGCCAATATATTCCGTTCGATTTTATTTTTGTTATACCAGATACACTTTGGTTTGGTAAATTAAAAGAGCCATGCAGCTCCTGCGCTATTAACAGCAGAATCAACATATAATAAATAAAAATATTTACATAATTAGTTCAATTGAATAGCAAGTTCACCATGAATTTAAGAACAGAATAAAGGCTAAGTAAATTCACCGCTATTTCACTAACCATCTTCATATCATATTTAATTTCAACGAAAAAATTTTAAATCTACTTTGCGTTTTCTTCATGTTCCAATTCTCTACGATAAATACAGACACGTGACACGTGTCTCTGTTGCCCGAAAATAAACAATTAATGCCATTAAAGCAAAAGATCTTCATTAATTTGTTACGATGAGGGCTGGGCCGTAAATATCACAGTGTACTGAACATTGATTTTTATCTTAAGTAGAAGTCGCCTCTTGTGTCAACGATCATCAAAGGTGTAGCTGCTTAAATGTGAGGGAAATGCTTTACGTAATTAGAGCTTCGCCTTTAGACTGCCGTGCTCGAATAAACATAGTGGAATGTCTTTGTATCTACGTAACTCATAATAGATAATGCTTCAATTAATTCTTCTATTAATGAATAATTTATTGTACTGTGTAACAACGATACACGAATATGCCAGAGTGCTTGATATGAATAATGATGACTTCTTATGAGATCTGCTTCTTATTTCATCAAGATATTCAATAATTTTGATTATCATTAAAAGCTCATTCAAAGATTATGAACTCAAATTAGGAAAAGAATGTTTTACATTTTACTTTTTAAGGCACGAATTCGGCTTCTGCTTAAAAAATTTACTCATTGTTCAAAATTTATCTATTTATCTATTATCTATTAATGGATTAATTATCAAATAAAAATCTACTGATTGTATAAGTCCAAGATCCGATGCTGATAGTACATGAAATCTCAAATTTGATTAAGGATGATTTATAAAGAGGGTAATATTTCGTACTCATCCAGATGCAGGTATAAAGGCCGGTTTCTTTCACTATGTACGGAGCGGCCAAATTAGCTAATGCCCTGACGTAAATGGCTCATCTTTCTTCTGATTAGCGATCGTAAAGGCTTACTTTTGCTCATAAAGGTGCTCTCCTAGAAAGCAATTACGAACACCAAGAGTGTGAGCAAAGCAACATTGACAAAATAATTCGTACTTCTCAGTTTCTCCGTGACCTTTTTGGGGTACTGTGCAGAGAACGTAAAGAAATTAACGATGTCGACGCCAAGCCTCAGCAAAACCCGAGGGATTTCCAAAGATTGACAAGAAAAAGGCTACACAGATTTGTCGGGGGTTCTGGAGAAATGAGACTATATTTATCAATATAATATTTGCAATGGGTATACGATGCATTTATATGGTTACAACTTTTTCGTCAAAAGATCAGGGATTGCGGTCAAAAGGAGGAATGAGAAAGCATCTTATATATATCTTACATCAAAATATCGTGCAAATAATTCGATATTTCCAAAAATTTCCTATCCCACTTTTGTGTAGATTGTGAAAAAATTCAAGAATACAAATTTATAAGTTCCACTCACTGCGTACTTGCGTATTTGGTCATGCCATTCAACGATACATATAATGAAGCGAGAAGTTCTGAGAGTATTTACTAAACAACCAATATATTGATCATTTGGGAGTTCATTTGCAGGAGTATGTTCACCTGAGTAAATATTCGCGTTAAATTTTAAGAGGTGGGACGCTCTAATCGAGTTCAATACATCGAAGTCATCGATTATCAGACACGATGATGGACGGAAGAATTGCTGCAACTGGCTCAGCAGTGAGCAAAAAAGCAAAGCGTCGAGCGATCACAATAGAACAAAGAGATCCGATCCTTTGTCATTCATAATAGGTATTTAGATTTGATTACAGTAAGCGCTA